ATGAGTATGGTAAGGGGCTTCAGTACCCATCTCCCTGAACAACAGACCCTGCGCTTCTGAAAGGGTTGTCGTGTTCAAGTTCCAATTATATCCTCCTGGTCCTTTGGTTCCGTGGAGTCGGGAAAGATTTTGGTTCTGGGTACAGCTGGAGGTCAGAGCTCTCTCCTCTGTGCATGCTTCAGCTGCATGACTTTTATTAATAGTCTTGATCTGTTGACTCTGAAATGCAACTCAGCATCTTGTCAGAAACAGGATAGGATTATTTTGACCTGGTTCTGCAGTTACAGCCTTTTGGATCATGGGGGGGTGGGGGGCGGTGCACATCGTCTGCACCCGTTTTGGGGATGCCTCTTGTATCCATGTTAAAAATGTATTCTAATCCAGAAAAATTACTTCTGGGTCTTTTCATGAAGAGGCTTATTGGCTTGAGTCACTATTGGAACGCCTATACTATTAGCATAGGCAGAAAGAATAAATCAGCAGGGAAAGAGGGCGAAGAATGGAAAGAGGAGGTGAGGGGAGACAAAGGAGGTAAGAGATGAGATCATTCTTAAGAAAAAGTGCAGCTACCAGGCCAGCCAGAACTAGATTTCGGTAGCGAGAGCAGACCCAGGATACCATCTTGTCCCTCAAGGTGAATGAACTTCAGCTAATGATGACGGATTATAATGTTATTAGCATTTTGGCTACGGAAAATCTCCACCCCAAGTCACCATGACAGTTCCGACTAGAACCAAATAAGGACAAAAATCCCTCCTCCCCAAGGGAAGGAGTGGTGAGCAACCACCCGCCTAAGAACGCCTATAAGCCACCCCTAAGTCTTCAACATTTCGCGCCTTCAGTTTTAGTGAAATAAATCCCCAAGTCTCATTGCTCTTCAGAGCAGCTGCTCTTCTCCAGGCTGGCCTGCTCTCACCTCCTTGAGAGTGCACTGTCCTCCTTTTAATAAATCTGCTGCTTACTTGGCTTTTTCGGTGAGTCCTTGAATTCTTTACAGTGGTGTACACTGAGAACCTGTTTTTTTTGTTCTGGCAACAATACCTTTGAAAACTCTACTTATCAAATGGCCAGATGAGGGATCTCTTCATTTGGAAAAACTTTGACATTTGAAACAGATTTTAGAGAGCTCTCATCCTAAACAAACGTCCTGTTGGTACCTAAGAACAAATTGAAAGAGGGACACAAAAGAGCATTCTGACTAGCCTTAGGGCCTCCCTTAAAAAGGTTAAAAACAAACCTGAACAAAATTAAAATCCACATCTACAATAAATTCCACTTCTCCACACTCCTAGATGCCCCTTTGCCCTCCATCTCCCTGCCTCTGATCCCCCAGAAGACCTTTTGGATCTCTAGGCCCCTGCCTTAAAACCCCCTCCCCAAAATCTGGCCTCACTTCCTCAGCAAATTCCTTTAATCCCTAAAACTCCTCTGTCTTCCCCAGAAAACCGTCCAACGCCCAGCTGCCAGCGTTAACTTGGTTTTCCCAGCAAGAATTCCAGAAAGCACACTTGGC